GACGATGAGGATGTTGATGATGATGTTGATGATGATGTGATGTGATGATGATTGGTGATGATGACAATGGTGTCGATGATGATTGGTCATGATGACAATGATGATGATGATGACAATGATGATGATGTGATGAGGATGTTCATGATGATGTGATGATGTTGATGATGATGATAATGATGTAATGATAATGATTACAGTGATGATGATACCATTTTACAACTATCACAACTCTGTGAGGCATCTGTCAGGCAGTCTTCCATGAGATTCACTCTATACACTCTACCAATTCATTCACACCACTCATCTTACATTTTTATTTTTACATGGGGCACCCAGAAAAAAAACCTTCATGGCAAAGGAGATAACACTTCAAGTAAACACAGCTCAAATGAGGTTCAGTTGAACATTGAGCCATGTAGCATCCCCAGACTTGAATTATACCTGTGATGGCATACCACCCTGGTATATGTTTGGTATATTAGAGTATACTATAATAAGAGTATAGTTACTATAATAAGAGTATACTATGATAAGAGTATGCTAACCTTGTTATGACGATGTAAATCAATGCCAGCACCATAGCTAGAATGAAGCCCCTGCATAAAACAGAAAGGAACATATCAGAATTGATTCATGATTCCACAACATGATGAAGAACCTGGCAACCCCAAAACGTAGGGCTCAGATRCAACCTTGTCAAAGTAGTGTTATGAGGACTATCGGTAGAGGAGATAATCCCCTTTATAACTTCAAGAAGCTGCACTCAAACTATTACATTTTTTGAGTTCATTCAACAGCTTACCCCATGGGGGTGGAGTGGGAGGGGGTGGGGGTTAGCCAATATATCAAATTAATAAAAATATATTTACACGATCAACATAATATTATTCTAAAGCCCTTACACTAGAATCCAATACCACACAGCCTTGACATCATCAATAATCTGAAAACAAATTGATTAACACAGTAAAATCTTAAACAACGAACTTCAAGGCAATAGTTTTCAATAGGGTTACCATAACCATAACCTTATGTTAGCCTCACATGATTGCAACATAATTTTGAGAAGGATCTATTCAAATACTGAGAACATTAAAGCTTAGTAAGGGTTATTTCATTTTTTAGCACATAGAAGGAGTGGGGGGGGGGGGAGCTTAACAAACAGTAGCCTAACCTCTCCTCCATGGTAGAGGCAACGACTGCATAACCCCTCTTCATCATCCTGCAATAGTTCTCAACCCCCCTCAATATGGTATAACCCCCCCTTTCAGAAAATAACCTAACCCCCTACAATGTTGCCGACTCCCCTCTCCATGCACTAATAAATGAAAGCCACCTAAATGGTCTACCTTCATTCCAACATTTTGAGCATCTAGAACAATCTTTAAATTTCTAAGGGAAAAACATAAAACATAAAATATGTCTAAGATTCTCTCCTAGAAATATTGGCTTAATATACCAATCACAAAAATACCTTACAGCATGACAAGCAAAAGTATGACCACATTTAATAAATAAATGTAATTGCATACTTCTATGCAGCAGAGTTTTTTTGCAGCCGCTATTAACATTACTATCTAAGCCATACAAAGGTCTAGCCATTTGTAGAGATGTAATTACGAAGGCAGCACCTTCTCAGTTATTGTATGGCTCTGATTGTTGTTCTGACTTGGACTCGACCTACGACCTGACGCACAACAGACCAACACTCTTATTATAATCAATTTAGCGAAAGGACCTACTTTATTGCCTCATATATCGAGGTACCAGTAACGTTTGCATTGGACTGGGAGTTAGTAACATGTTTATTAAGGCCACCTAATCCAGTTGGAATACAGCGGTAAAGCACTGCAGGTATAAAGACAAGCAGATAATTATTAGTATAATATTAATTAGGTCAACTGATACTTATATTAGCTTCAAAAAACAATAAAACAAAATAGAACAAACAGAACAGAAAAAAACAGTATGTGGTGTGCTGCAAGGTGGTGGTGTGGTGCAAGGTAGTTTGGTGTAAGATGGTATGTGGTGCAAGGTGGTGTAGTGCAAGGTGGTGTGGTGTAAGGCAGTGGTGTGGTGCAAGGTGGTGTGGTGTAAGGTGGTGTGGTGTAAGGCAGTGGTGTGGTGCAAGGTGGTGTGGTCTAAGGCGGTGTGGTCTAAGGCAGTGGTGTGGTGTAAGGTGGTGTGGTGCAAGGTGGTGTAGTGCAAGGTGGTGTGGTGTAAGGCAGTGGTGTGGTGCAAGGTGGTGTGGTCTAAGGCAGTGGTGTGGTGCAAGGTGGTGTGGTCTAAGGCGGTGGTGTAGTGCAAGGTGGTGTGGTGTAAGGCAGTGGTGTGGTGCAAGGTGGTGTGGTGTAAGGCAGTGGTGTGGTGCAAGGTGGTGTGGTCTAAGGCAGTGGTGTGGTGCAAGGAGGTGTGGTGCAAGGTGGTGTAGTGCAAGGTGGTGTGGTGTAAGGCAGTGGTGTGGTACAAGGTGGTGTGGTGTAAGGCAGTGGTGTGGTGTAAGGTGGTGTGGTGTAAGGCAGTGGTGTGGTGTAAGGTGGTGTGGTGCAAGGTGGTGTGGTATAAGGTGGTGTGGTATAAGGTGGTGTGGTGTAAGGCAGTGGTGTGGTATAAGGTGGTGTGGTATAAGGTGGTGTGGTATAAGGTGGTGTGGTATAAGGTGATGTGGTATAAGGTGGTGTGGTATAAGGTGGTGTGGTGTAAGGTGGTGTGGTATAAGGTGGTGTGGTATAAGGTGGTGTGGTGTAAGGCAGTGGTGTGGTGTAAGGTGGTGTGGTATAAGTTGGTGTGGTATAAGGAGGTGTGGTGTAAGGTGGTGTGGTATAAGGTGGTGTGGTGTAAGGCAGTGGTGTGGTGCAAGGTGGTGTGGTCTAAGGCGGTAGTGTGGTGTAAGGTGGTGTGGTGCAAGGTGGTGTGGTGCAAGGTGGTGTGGTGCAAGGTGGTGTGGTGCAAGGTGGTGTGGTATAAGGTGGTGTGGTGTAAGGTGGTGTGGTGCAAGGTGGTGTGGTATAAGGTGGTGTGGTGTAAGGTGGTGTGGTGTAAGGTGGTGTAGTGCAAGGAGGTGTGGTGCAAGGTGGTGTAGTGTAAGGTGGTGTGGTGTTAGGTGGTGTAGTGCAAGGTGGTGTGGTGTAAGGTGGTGTGGTGTATGAAATAACATAGTATTGGTAAACAAGATTTGTTTAGGTAAAGTATATGATATGACAATAATATCAACAATATTAATATAGGTTAATATAGTTATTAGTTAGGGCCTGTACTTATAGTTATGTAATTTTGTTTGTAAATATGAATGTAATTCTAGGTACAATAAAACGTTGTTGTTGTTGTTGTTGTTGTTTCGCACACATGTTATTGGTCAAGCCACCACAGCACTATGATTTTGAGTCAGGATATTCACTGCTCTAGCGATGATTATGAAGTTACGAAATGTGTTTTTGTCACTCAGTAAAGATCTATATGTTAAGTTAAGCAAGAACCCAACTGCGGCAGATTTTTTAATCTGCTTATACACTCGATGAAGCATACACTTAATTAACATATAGATTATGAAGTTTTCCAAAATCTACAAGAGCAGAAGTAATAAAAGGTTTTTTAATCTTGAAGCTCGCCTTTTCTATGATATTCAAGTATTTAATATAGTATATTATACTAAAACAATTATTTTCCTCAGGCTCAGTGAATATTGGGGAATATTTACCTCACTGCTCGAAGACTCAAGGCTTGGTAAACATTCCTCAATATCATAGTTAATAGAGGGGAACGATTCCACACTAACACTAATCTACTAACAAATCACTCATGATTGTAAGCTGCACGGCTGCTACTAGCGCCTTAATATGCAGCCCGTAAAGTCCTCCACTGGTCATTAAATTAAAGCGCATTGAGACCATGTGAAATGCGCTATAGAAGCACCCCATTATTATTATTATAACTATGTCACTCAATAATTATTCACTTTCCCTTAGGTGAATATTCGTTCTTTATTATATAGATATCGATGAAATACCAGGTTTTCTCTAGTGTCGAAAACTTGATATCTTTCACCAGTGGAAGATACCATATCTTTCACATGTGAAGATATTGCTGTTGAATCAGCTTTTGAGCTTTTGTTTTATTTAAGTTTCATCGATATCTGTATAATAAACAGAACATTACATAGCCGCTTGGAGATACAAATTTTATCTTCGAGTGTTCAATTAAGATATCTCGCTCATTCGTTGCGCTCACTGGTGATCGAGATATCAATTGAACACTCGAAGATAAAATTTGTATCTCCGCGTGCCCATGTAATATCCTTTATATAACTAATAATTGTATATTTTTTAAAGATGTAATATTTCACCTGGTGCGCTGGCTAGGTAGTAGGGAGCACATTTTGATTCCTTGATCAGAGTGGTCCTTTCGCTCTTTATTTCAAAAAAAATATTATAAATTAGACAAGAGAATTGAATGAACCTCTTTAGATACATCGTTTGTTGTGCACATTTCAGACCATGTGGGGCTACTCTTGGGAATGAAACCTTGGGATTGATTCTTTCATGTGTAAATATTTTAATATGTCCGAACGATCTGGTGGTTCAATATTGGATGTGAGCTTGAAAAAACTTAAAACAAGGAAGACAATACTGCAAACTCTGCTTTAAGAACATGTGATACCAAAAACAGGAATGAAATCCAAAACCAAGGAGGCAGAGAGGCCTCGATTTTATCCAGTCTATCAAAGAATTATAATTATGTAAACAAAAGGTTTGCCACTCTTTTCACGGCTACGCGCTGATTGAAACCACAGTATGGGTACCAACCAATTTATTAGATTGACGGAAGTCAGTATCGCCCAGTTTTCCTGTTGTGACTGTTGTCTCAATCAGTGCATAGCAATGAAGAGAGTGGTAATTTTCAAATGAATAAAAATGGAAAAAATTGATTACATATATTCAGGATGAGATGAACAAGCTATTGCTAACTTCCATTAAATTTAACTTGGTAAAAAGATGATTTTGATGTTTACTAACTGTAGTGTTTGGTTTTGCTATCCCTGGCTTGCATATCATGTTCTCGTAACTGACAGTGATACCAGCTTCATTCTTTGTTGGACATTTGCTGACACAAACCTGGCAAGGATGAAAGGAAATATCATTGGTACATTATCCTAAAGCTCATTAATAATTATTAAATACACACAAGACACCAGATAACAAAGTCAAAAGCAGAATTTAGTAAGACGTTTAGAAAGAGATTACTCTTGGAATTTGGAACTCAAAAGGGTCTATTCAATTGAATTTAAATATAGTATCATGATTGTCCTATAATCTTGGTRGAGAGAGAGCTGTCAATATAACATGGTATTGTTGTCTTAAAATTACCACACGTGATTGGCTAATAGTGTTTGATTGACGGCGAAAATAGCACTTTTTCGGTATCGAGGTCTGTTTTCATGATGCAATGGTTCTCTGAAAAAAATTCTTCTTCTCTTTTACAACTTTTATGACAATTTTTTTTCCTGGCGACATTGTAAAAGGATAAGGAAAATTAAAAGCTATATATCTCCCAAAATTTGTTTTCTTTCAAATTTTGAAGAAAATTTTCACGACTCCACCCAATACGAAATAAATTTTTTCCCAACTAGCCATCAATATTTTGTGGTATTGCCGTCTCAAAATCACAATTAGTTTATAGTGTTTACCTGTGGTGTTGGGCAAGATGGTGAGGACAGCTGAGAGATATCAAACTTGATACACTTGGTGAGGTCAAAAAACACCAAGTACTTTTGATTGCTGCAACAATAAAAACATCACTTTAAAACTTTATTTTCCGCTTATCAGTGACTTAGCACCTTCACACGTTTAAAAGTAATTACACTTTCTAGCAGTTGTCTAAATATAATACTTACGGATAGTCTTTTCCACAAACTTTTCCTAAAAATATAAGATAATAACAGACATTATTTCAGTTAAACGTTTTATAGTTATAATAAGCAATGCAATACCAATTTATGTATTATAATTATAGACCCATGTCCAACCTCCAAAGCAGAGAATAAACTTAAAAAATACAGTAAAATAATGAAAGTACTCTGCTGTAAAATAAAATGCATTGGCCATAAAAGATTTAAATAAAATAAAATAAATAAATAAATAAATAAATAAAAAATAAAAGACTTAAATATTTAAAATTTTAAATGTTGAAACAAAATTCTTTTATTTTTATAAATATAAAGATTAATAGTCCTCTTCACAGTTCCCTGCGCCATCTTGAAAGGTAGCCATGCCTTTCCATCGAAGCGAGACGAACGGTGAGCTTGCAATGATAGGGACATGTGAATCATTTTTGATTTGACAATGTTCTTGTAATTAGGTGTATATAACTCTTATTTATTCTTTCTTACCCTGTGAATCAGTTGGAAGAAGAAGCCGATCGAGGTCTCCCTCAATGAAAGCTGAAATAATGCAAGAAAAAAAGAAAATAAATAAACAAAATTTCATATTATCAAATTATGTTGAAATCCCAAAAAATCTGATGGCTGTGGGATAGGCATTATTTATTCCATAAACACTGCAATCACAGATCCAGAGAAAGTGGACTTGGTACTTAGGAGTTAGGTGAAATCTAAATAGGAAACTATATTATACAGGCTCTCTAGGTAACAGCTAGCTACCCCCATTGAAATCATTCTAGATCTAGATAAATTGCATACTGTAAGTATCATGAAAACTAACATTGGGTCAATCACAATACATTGGGTAGTTTACATGTAAAATTATGGTATTCAGTATCATCATAGTTAATATTAACTAAAGTATCATACACAGATTAAGACCAGCATGTCGGAGGGGATATGTCCTATGGCAAAGTTCTGAAGTATCTCAATTATTGTTGGGACTTGATTAAATAAGGTATAAATACCCGTGGGGGTGAGCTGCACAAGCTTATAATAATTATATTACAATAATTATTGTCATGCACCTATTGATATTTAAGACCTAAGGATCATGGAAGATCAATGTGCTGCATCATAATAAAGTGTAGTCTTGCACAGGATTTCACTGTACATATCGTAGTAGCTGAATTATACATACCTATGATTCCCACGACCACCATGCCAATGATATAGGCCACAAAGAGAATACAACAGATGATATCTGTACATGATCTAGAAAAATATTCAAATGTAATTTTGAGATAGCAGGGGAAAAGATAAGGTCATTTGTCATTAATATTTGTAATGGTCATGGAAGCATGTGGGTAGCGTAGTGGTGAGTCAGCGCTATTAAACCTATCACCAATGCAACACAGGTTCAATTCCTGGACAAGTAGAGTTGTTTGTTGGTTCTCTCCTGTGCTTTGAGGATTTATAAACAGGGTCTCTGGTTTCCCTACCTCCACAAAAATCAACTTCTAATTCATTCCAATTGGAATCCAGTAGAAGAAGAGCTGCTCTGTGGAACCACTTTTAATCGTCATCTGTTATTTATTATTTTCTTCGTTTATTTATGTTTATTTATTTAAAGTTTTACCCTAAGGTAGGTGCTAAATACAATAGGACACTTAACACCTGTGCATTCTGCTTGCTATTTGCAAGCTTTGTGCCTCTTGCTTGTTGCTTTAGCTGTTAGTTATGTTACACTATTTACCATTCTAGCTCAATTTAATATAATTGCTTCTGCTACTCTAGCTCTCAAGGGAACAAACAGAAGCCGCTACCCTTTCATCTTTTTTGGGATCATATAACTGTGAGTAATATTAATAAGAGTATTATTTCTCAGAACTTAAATTGGATTGCCTCCAAGCTTATTGTGGTAAGAGTGACTGCCTTACCGATCCTCAATTGGTCCTTTGAACGCTGGATCATGTGACCTCTTCTTGCCTACAATCAGATAAAGATATCAGACTAGTTAGATTTTAATTCACAAGTGGATTAAATGTTCTCAGTCTGTCCATGATGTTGGAATATGTTCTATTAAGAACATATAGAAGTATGTATATCAATGCCTAGGTTATTCGATGATAATGAATTTATACGACGTACCCCTCTCATGCAATTTTATGACTGCACGCTCATTCAGTTAATAATAGCTTAGAGTTTTGAGAGTATTTATAAATCTAGTTGTAGTGTGTGTGTCATACACATAAATACTAGCCTCTGCTTTAAGGGAGACTCAAAAATTACTCCCTATCTTATGACATAAAAGAAAAATTTATTTATTTTTTTACGGTCCGGTATCCTAAAAAATGGTGCCTTCTGATTGGCTGTTTGAGCTGGCTGTATTTTGTCAGTATCTGCCCGCGCGCGCAGTCCGGTATCCTTTGCTGCTAAACGACAACACAAAATGATTACAAAAACGAACAAAAAAATACAGGAAAAATTTTAAAAAGTTGTTAACCGTCCTATAGACGGTCCGAATAGGGAAAAACTGTGCCCTCCGTCTCGAAAACGGACCTCGCCCTAATGGCCTCGGTCAGTATAGTCAAGATCTCGAGCACAGTTTTTCCCTATCCGGACCTTCTGGGCAGTAAATAACATATGTTTATCATGGTTTATTTAGCTGTTGCTAATTGAATTCATAAACTGTGTGCCATATATCTGTGAAACAAAAGCAAAGACGTATTGTCTAAATACACCTATTTTGTACAAAATAGTACATATTAGAGTGCAAACAATATAACCGTGAAATTTTAGTTATACTAAATAGCACAATTTCATGCAAATTCCATTGTTTTCTATTGTTTAATTAGCACTATTTTGTACTATTAGTAATTACTGTTTCGCAGATGAATTGTTTTCACTCTACTGGAGCAAAACATTGGAACAAAAACCAGTATGGCATCTGCTTGGTTCATACCTGAGTGAACTCTTGGCTATTTTAAAACTAAATAGATGTGTAACTACCTGTAAATGCTTTTAAACGTCATACATATGATAGTAATAGGGCAATGTAGAGTTCAATTCTGCTAGTAATTGTTCCATGGATATAATTTCATGGCAGATGATCTCATAAAAAAGATTTAGGTGTCAGACAGTCCTTGAATATTTTTTACATGATAATAAAATTATGCAAACTAATAATATGAAACATTTTCTATTAAATGGTCTAGTGCATCTAACAAAATAAATTTATTTTGAAAACATAGATGTTGTTCTTTTACTCATTTAATGAAAAATGAATTCAAGCAATGAAATAAATAAGCATTTGTATATAGTTCTGGGATTTGTTGTATTTGAATAAAACATTTCATATTCAACCAGATTAATCTATATTTATTTAGCTCTCAAAAGTTCAACCTAGGTACAAAGCTATAAAAGATATTATTCTGCAGAATGAATTCCAAGAATTATCTCAGGGTTTTAAGAGAATGAATAAATAAGGCTTGCATTTTTAGCTCCAAACGTGTTCTCATTATTTCTGGAGATTACTTGTAGCCTAACGTTTTTTAATAAACGAGGGTTTGGCGAAAGAAAAGAAAAACACATTCCATAATCTATGAATGCGAAATGTAAAAGCAGAATGAATTCGTTAATAAATATTAAACCTCAAAATTTTTACGCCAAATTTAAGGAAATCGTCAACGAAGGAGATAAAGTACGACAGGTAAACATGACATGAAGCTAAGTTTTAGACGTTCGTGTTTTCCACACTTGGAAGAATTTGAACTACTTTAGCTAAAATTCAGGACAGAATTTATGCCAAGTTCATCCTTTTAAGTATTGTGGATATCTTTGGCTTGAGATAAGATATAGTGGCTTCAACTGAACTTTGTTTATCGTTTCGTGTTGAAAAAAAAACATCGATGTCAAGTCAGTCAAAATAAGCTTACGGTACTAAACTTGTCAACAATTTATGAATAAAACAGACGCTTAAACCCGAAATGAAATTAAAGAATAAGATAGACTACGTTTAAGTATGCTTTGACGTTCGTGTTTTCCACACTTGGAAGAATTTGAACTACTTTAGCTAAAATTCAGGACAGAATTTATGCCAAGTTCATCCTTTTAAGTATTGTGGATATCTTTGGCTTGAGATAAGATATAGTGGCTTCAACTGAACTTTGTTTATCGTTTCGTGTTGAAAAAAAAACATCGATGTCAAGTCAGTCAAAATAAGCTTACGGTACTAAACTTGTCAACAATTTATGAATAAAACAGACGCTTAAACCCGAAATGAAATTAAAGAATAAGATAGACTACGTTTAAGTATGCTTTGACTAGGTTGTTATAGTTAAATTCAGTATTTTAAAGGTTGTTTTGATGTATTTAGTGACTCACCTAAGTCTACTTCATCTGCCATCTTTGTTTTTAACTGAGAGACTTCGGGGTTAATCATTATTCACAGCTTTGAATTATTAATTAACTATAACTAATAAAGACCCAATGGGAAAAGGGAAGATATTCTCATTCAAAACATAAATAAAAGAGCAGCCATTCAGAGCACTTCGAGGTTTGAACCAAACCATTCAAATTATCTTGAACCGCAAACCTGCAAAGTGTTTTGTGAAAGCTTTGTTCTTAGTAACAAAACTTTGGGGGGGGGGGGGGGGGGG